CAAATTTACAACCCATTTTTCCAAATCTACAACTCCATTTCTAAATTTACAACCCATTTTTCCAATTCTACAACTCCATTTCCAATTCCTACAACTCTATTTTCTAATTTACAAGCCATTTTTCCAAATCTACAACTCCATTTCCAAACTTACAACCAATTGTTCCAAATCTACAACTCCATTTCCAAATTTACAGCCCATTTTTCCAATTCTACAACTCCGTTTCCAAATTTACAACCCATTTTTCCAATTCTACAACTCCATTTTCTAATTTACAATCCATTTTTCCAAATCTACAACTCCATTTCCAAATTTACAACCCATTTTTCCAATTCTACAACTCCGTTTCCAAATTTACAACCCATTTTACCAATTCTACAACTCCATTTTCTAACTTACAACCCATTTTTCCAAATCTACAACTCCATTTCCAAATTTACAATCCATTTTTCCAATTCTACAACTCCGTTTCCGAATTTACAACCCATTTTTCCAATTCTACAACTCCATTTATAATTCTACAACTTCATTTTCTAATTTACAACCCATTTTTCCAAATCTACAACTCCGTTTCCAAATTTACAACCCATTTTTCCAATTCTACAACTCCATTTCCAATTCTACAACTCCATTTTCTAATTTACAACCCATTTTTCCAAATCTACAACTCCATTTCCAAATTTACAACCAATTTTTCCAAATCTACAACTCCATTTCCAAATGTACAACCCATTTTTCCAATTCTACAACTCCGTTTCCACATTTACAACCCATTTTTCCAAATCTACAACTCCATTTCCAAATTTACAACCAATTTGCAACCAATTTACAACTCCATTTTCTAATTTACAACCCACTTTTCCAAATCTACAACTCCATTTCCAAATTTACAACCCATTTTTCCAATTCTACAACTCCATTTTCTAATTTACAACCCATTTTTCCAAATCTACAACTCCATTTTCAAATTTACAACCCATTTTTCCAATTCTACAACTCCGTTTCCACATTTACAACCCATTTTTCCAAATCTACAACTCCATTTCCACATTTACAACCCATTTTTCCAAATCTACAACTCGATTTCCAAATTTACAAGCAATTTTTCCAAATCTACAACTCCATTTCTAAATTTACAACCCATTTTTCCAATTCTACAACTCCATTTCCAATTCTACAACTCTATTTTCTAATTTACAAGCCATTTTTCCAAATCTACAACTCCATTTCCAAACTTACAACCAATTGTTCCAAATCTACAACTCCATTTCCAAATTTACAGCCCATTTTTCCAATTCTACAACTCCGTTTCCAAATTTACAACCCATTTTTCCAATTCTACAACTCCATTTTCTAATTTACAATCCATTTTTCCAAATCTACAACTCCATTTCCAAATTTACAACCCATTTTTCCAAATCTACAACTCCATTTCCAAATGTACAACCCATTTTTCCAATTCTACAACTCCGTTTCCACATTTACAACCCATTTTTCCAAATCTACAACTCCATTTACAACCAATTTGCAACCAATTTACAACTCCATTTTCTAATTTACAACCCATTTTTCCAAATCTACAACTCCATTTCCAAATGTACAACCCATTTTTCCAATTCTACAACTCCGTTTCCACATTTACAACCCATTTTTCCAAATCTACAACTCCATTTCCAAATTTACAACCAATTTACAACTCCATTTTCTAATTTACAACCCATTTTTCCAAATCTACAACTCCATTTCCAAATTTACAACCCATTTTTCCAAATCTACAACTCCATTTCCAAATTTACAACCAATTTTTCCAATTCTACAACTCCATTTTCTAATTTACAACCCATTTTTCCAAATCTACAACTCCATTTCCAAATTTACAACCCATTTTTTCAATTCTAAAACTCCATTTCCAAATTTACAACCCATTTTTCCAATTCTACAACTCCATTTTCTAATTTACAACCAATTTTTCCAATTCTACAACTCCATTTCCAAATTTACAATTCCATTTCCAATTCTACAACTCCATTTCCAAATTTACAACCCATTTTTCCAAATCTACAACTCCATTCCCAAAATGTACAACTCCATTTCCAAATTTACAACTCCATTTCGAAATCTACAACTCCATTTCCAAATTTACAACCCATTTTTCCAAATCTACAACTCTATTTCAAAATTTACAACCAATTTTTCCAATTCTACAACTTCATTTCCAAAATGAACAGCTCCATTTCCAATTCTACAACTCCATTTCCAAATTTACAACCCATTTTTCTAATTCTACAACTCCATTTCCAAATTTTCAACCCATTTTTCCAAATCTACAACTCTATTTCGAAATCTACAACTCCATTTCCAAATTTACAACCCATTTTTCCAAATCTACAACTCCATTTCCAAATTTACAACCAATTTGCAACTAATTTACAACTCCATTTTCTAATTTACAACCCATTTTTCCAAATCTACAACTCCATTTCCAAATGTACAACCCATTTTTCCAATTCTACAACTCCGTTTCCACATTTACAACCCACTTTTCCAAATCTACAACTCCATTTCCAAATTTACAACCAATTTACAACTCCATTTTCTAATTTACAACTCCATTTCCAAATTTACAACCCATTTTTCCAATTCTACAACTCCATTCCCAAATTTACAACCCATTTTTCCAAATCTACAACTCCATTTCCAAATTTACAACCAATTTTTCCAATTCTACAACTCTATTTTCTAATTTACAACCCATTTTTCCAAATCTACAACTCCATTTCCAAATTTACAACCCATTTTTTCAATTCTAAAACTCCATTTCCAAATTTACAACCCATTTTTCCAATTCTACAACTCCATTTTCTAATTTACAACCAATTTTTCCAATTCTACAACTCCATTTCCAAATTTACAACTCCATTTCCAATTCTACAACTCCATTTCCAAATTTACAACCCATTTTTCCAAATCTACAACTCCATTCCCAAAATGTACAACTCCATTTCCAAATTTACAACTCCGTTTCCACATTTACAACCCATTTTTCCAAATCTACAACTCCATTTCCAAATTTACAACCAATTTGCAACCAATTTACAACTCCATTTTCTAATTTACAACCCACTTTTCCAAATCTACCAGAAAATGGAGTTGTAGAATTGGAAAAATGGGTTGTAAATTTGGAAATGGAGTTGTAGATTTGGAAAAATGGGTTGTAAATGTGGAAACGGAGTTGTAGAATTGGAAAAATGGGTTGTACATTTGGAAATGGAGTTGTAGATTTGGAAAAATGGGTTGTAAATTAGAAAATGGAGTTGTAAATTGGTTGCAAATTGGTTGTAAATGGAGTTGTAGATTTGGAAAAATGGGTTGTAAATGTGGAAACGGAGTTGTAAATTGGTTGCAAATTGGTTGTAAATGGAGTTGTAGATTTGGAAAAATGGGTTGTAAATTTGGAAATGGAGTTGTAGATTTGGAAAAATGGATTGTAAATTAGAAAATGGAGTTGTAGAATTGGAAAAATGGGTTGTAAATTTGGAAACGGAGTTGTAGAATTGGAAAAATGGGCTGTAAATTTGGAAATGGAGTTGTAGATTTGGAACAATTGGTTGTAAGTTTGGAAATGGAGTTGTAGATTTGGAAAAATGGCTTGTAAATTAGAAAATAGAGTTGTAGAATTGGAAATGGAGTTGTAGAATTGGAAAAATGGGTTGTAAATTTAGAAATGGAGTTGTAGATTTGGAAAAATTGCTTGTAAATTTGGAAATCGAGTTGTAGATTTGGAAAAATGGGTTGTAAATGTGGAAATGGAGTTGTAGATTTGGAAAAATGGGTTGTAAATGTGGAAATGGAGTTGTAGAATTGGAAAAATGGGTTGTAAATTTGGAAACGGAGTTGTAGAATTGGAAAAATGGGTTGTAAATTTGGAAATGGAGTTGTAGATTTGGAAAAATGGGTTGTAAATTAGAAAATGGAGTTGTAAATTGGTTGCAAATTGGTTGTAAATTTGGACATGGAGTTGTAGATTTGGAAAAATGGGTTGTAAATGTGGAAACGGAGTTGTAGAATTGGAAAAATGGGTTGTAAATTTGAAAATGGAGTTGTAGATTTGGAAAAATGGGTTGTAAATTAGAAAATGGAGTTGTAGAATTGGAAAAATGGGTTGTAAATTTGGAAATGGAGTTGTAGATTTGGAAAAGTGGGTTGTAAATTAGAAAATGGAGTTGTAAATTGGTTGCAAATTGGTTGTAAATTTGGAAATGGAGTTGTAGATTTGGAAAAATGGGTTGTAAATGTGGAAACGGAGTTGTAGAATTGGAAAAATGGGTTGTACATTTGGAAATGGAGTTGTAGATTTGGAAAAATTGGTTGTAAATTTGGAAATGGAGTTGTAGATTTGGAAAAATGGGTTGTAAATTAGAAAATGGAGTTGTAGAATTGGAAATGGAGTTGTAGAATTGGAAACGGAGTTGTAGATTTGGAAAAATGGGTTGTAAATTAGAAAATGGAGTTGTAGAATTATAAATGGAGTTGTAGAATTGGAAAAATGGGTTGTAAATTCGGAAACGGAGTTGTAGAATTGGAAAAATGGATTGTAAATTTGGAAATGGAGTTGTAGATTTGGAAAAATGGGTTGTAAGTTAGAAAATGGAGTTGTAGAATTGGTAAAATGGGTTGTAAATTTGGAAACGGAGTTGTAGAATTGGAAAAATGGGTTGTAAATTTGGAAATGGAGTTGTATATTTGGAAAAATTGGTTGTAAATTTGGAAATGGAGTTGTAGATTTGGAAAAATTGGTTGTAAATTTGGAAATGGAGTTGTAGATTTGGAAATGGAAATCTCAATTAGCACAATGCCCCTGCAAAGGGTATTATAATTTTGGACGTCTATATCCTATATCTTGCCGAAGTTAGCTTCCGTCCTCGTTAATGATTTAATTTTGTTTTTTTTTTATTTACTGCCAAGTGAAATCTTTTACAAACAAAAACAATTTTGTTTACCAATTGCTCAATCAATGTCCAATTTCTTGAAGTTTCCCTCAATACCAAAAAGATCCGAAGCAGATTTGGCTTTGCCGGGTCGCAGTTTTTCGTTCACCTGATGGCGAGTCTCAAATTCAAGCATTTCCTTTTGATTGTCCAGCAACTTTTTGTAGTAAATTTCTGTGAAAATAGTACATATTTGATAAAATTATGTTGATGATTCAGGTTCTTAGCTCACCTTTGGCCAAGTTGGTCTCTTCAACTTCACCGCCGTATTCCTTAGGGAGCATTTTCTTCGGCACAAACTTATAGAATTCCTTCAAGTCACTGTGCATATGTAGTACAGTGGTCAGTTCCTTTTTCATAAAAGGAGTCATTAGCGCCAGAATCTTGTCCATGAAAGGTACAATGTTAATAAAGTGAAAGCCTATAAGCCTGATGGCAGCTGCTTCCTAAAATATTCCTATTTGTATTATCTTTCTTAAAATTTTTGTATGTTTCTTTATCACCTGCAGATAAAATAGAAACTTTTTCATTTGCAAAAGGCCAATTCGAGCTACATGTCCCAAAGATGTGTTTTTCAGATCGATAACAATGACGTGTCCTGGCTGAATTCCATCCTCATACATCCAAAAGTCAAATACCATGCAATATCTGAAAGTGGAACATGAAAAGTTATTTAAATATAATTTTTATTTTTGAAGATTTCAAATTCGAAAAGATAGATCTTTTTCTAAGTGCATCAACAGAGACATCCCTGAACTACACCCTTGTATGTCAAGCTTGCTTAATTGTTATTTCTTAATTGTCTGCTATTATGCAGCAGATTATAATGATCGTACAGTAGTCGGTGGTTTTTGAGTACCTGTAGATTAAGGCAAAGCTCCCCAGTATTTCAGTAAGTATCTCTGTATCCGGGGAACGGCGAAATGTGTCGTGCGTGCTTGTTGGTTTAAGTTTTCAGTTCGGACCTTTAATCTCTTCATGCTCCGTATGCCTTGTCATAATCACGCCACAACTGACGTGTAAATATAGCTCAAATGTCAATAATTGACAGCCATTAATATTGAAGTTCAGTTAAACAAGTGTTTGCAAATTATATGTAACTATTTTAAGATGGAAGATATCTAAGGTATCTAATCTACGACTCATATTTATAAGGATACCAACATTTATTAGTTATTGTTATAATGTTTATATTATAATGTTTAAGAATTAGTCTATAATTTACTTACAGTTTCATAACATCTGCAAAGTTATAGTTGGAGGTATTCAAGTCATCGAGCTTAGCGAGAATCACACGATATCCTTCGGGTGTGGCCCCTGGCAGAGGGACAATGGAACTACAAATATATGAGGAAATGATATCTTAAGTCAAGTTAATACTAGTGCCAGGATACAACCTACACAGTTCGCATAGCTCGCCTGATCTCAGGGCGCTCGCAGTCGAGGTTCACGAAGAACTCCTCCAGGTGGGTGCGGGCCGTGAGATTGGTATCGAGGACCTGCTTGGCCACCTCCATGCTGTTGCGGCAGGCGTGGAAGAAGTGCAAAGCTTCGCCCTCCGAAAACCTATCCGAGATGTGCGGCTGGGCGTGGATCCAGTCCAAAAACTTTACCACTTCCGATCGCCTGATCTCCGGAAAACGCTCATACTGATCCTCCAAATTGGCCTCCTTCATGTTGGGAATGGGATTTACTTTTGATTGTTGCGCTACTTGGCCCGAAACGCGTTTGAGCGCGGTCAACTCTCGAATGAAATGGAAATGGAAGCTGGTTGCTTTCGCAAGTGAAACTGGTTGGCCGTCTGACTTGGCTTTTTGCGAATTCGGCATGCAATTCCGTGAGTTCGGGATGGGATCGGGAATCGGGAGGTTTTTTGGGGCGGGGAGTTGGGGATCTCGAAGCTTGGACTAGCATGTGTTCAGGAAAAACTAGCAATGGCTTGCGTTAGTCACACGGACAGAAAAAACACTGAACTTTTAATTAAAAAATAATCAAAAATTCTCAAATCCTATTACTGGGTAAAAACATTTTGTTTTGTAAATCCTAGTATTATAAGGGGAAAAAAATTACCAACCGTTTTACAATGAACTTGAATATGATTTCATTTTGTTATAAAAAACTTCTGAAACCTTTGTTTTCGGTGTATTTGTCATCGGTTCATTTCACTTCACTTCCATCAGTCTGCGTGAAAATGCATTTTTTTCATCCGCCTGTTGCTGCCGTACGGTTATTATTATATTTTTTCTCTCTCCTCGGGATTGCATAACATGTGATCAAGTGATTGGGCGGCCGATCCATGACGAGGGGCCTATTATTATTTCGCATGGCGTGTGCTTCGGAGATCAAGAGATTTCAGCTCCTTCATCAAATCCAAAATGTGACGCTTGACTGGCGAAAGGAAATTATTTTTGTATAAATTAATGAAAATAAATAAAGATATAAGATTGAAGAATTTTGTAGAGTTTTGACATATACATGATATTGAAGAATTTAATTATTTGTCCGAAGAAAAATTAAAGCTGTTGCTTAGCACAACTAAAGTAATTAGCAAACCATTTTTTCGCAGCTTAAAAAAATGGCCAAAAGTGGCAAATATTGCACAATACTTAAAAAAATTTAAAGAATCCTTCTGCCAAATAAGATGTCACAACCCATTCGAGTTTCTAGAGTTGCAAAGCCAGTACGTGTGTCAACTTCGTCTTCGACTTTATCCGCAGAGTCTAGCTGCCACAACGGCCTCATTTCCGCGGCAGACACTTGACATTTTGCCAACAGCAGACACCAGCCAGCCACTCAGCCGGTCAGAAAAGCAAACCTGGCTAGGCAGCCTGTGGCTGGAGTTATAACCGAGCACTGGAAAAAAACACTACTGATTTTATATAATAAGGATGAAGGATTTACGGCAAAAGGGAAATTTTTATAAAACCTGACCCAGATTATTAGAATTATTTTTAAATTCAAATTTAATGAATTAATTGTATATTTTTCTTGGCTTGAGTAAAGTTATTTTCTCTCCGTGTGGCTGTGGCATGCTTCGCTCAGTTAAAACAGCCGGTGCGCCACTTTGGCGTGTCTGAAATTCCAAACGGATTAGAAGCCGCGCGCAAAGAGCAAACGGCAAACGGCCAACTGCAAATGTTTGCTGCCAATGGCAACCAGTTTGTGAGCTTGCGAGGAGTGGAATCTGCGGGAAGACCAAGGGGATGGATCCATGGAGGAGGCGGAGTGGACTTCTGTTTTATTTTGGACCGCTGGGGGCACAGGTGTCGTGGTGTCAGCCTCCAGTGTCAAACTAGGTGCCAATCCGAAATTAATTATACATCCCAAAGTCTAAGCTCGAATCGAAGCTCGAATTGCACGGTGGGGTCAGGTGCACTCAAAGATCTCTGACAAGGGCAACGTTTTGGATGACCTGGGATCATTAAAAATGCATAGTTTTATGATTAAAGTATAATTTGAGTTGATTATCTTGAAAGAATAAATAGAATATATACATTTTTTGAACATTTTTTAAGCTTTAAAAAAAAAAATAGTACCTATAGTACTTATGTTCAATGGAATTCTTCTGACAAACTATCCTTAGTATTTTTTAGCCTTTTAACACCATATTTGCAGTGTGCTAACGCACGCACCACCAATAATGGTGACCCAAAAAAATCAATCGCAGGAATGCCTGCATGCTAATCGTGGATCAGGTTTCTCCGAAGACCACGATGATGATGATAATGATGATCGCATGGTGGTGACAACATCGTTTTGGCGACGTGCGTTCTTTTAATGTTGCCGTCATGCACCGAGTCCTACGAGTAAGTTGCCTTTTTGGAACCCAGCACTCCGTCCTCCTTGGTTTTTTCGACCGCTTCTTGAGCTCTTTCTCGGCTGTTATGGCTGGTTGTTATTTGTTCCCTGGCCATTTTTCACGCATTTGACTGCATTACTTAACCTCAATTTGGCAGACGACGTGCATCAACTTGCCACACTCCCATTCCCGACGGCCAACCCAACTCCCCACTTCCCACTCCTCACTTTCGAGCCAACGGTTGCGTTTCCGTTGGCCACCAGAGCTCCGTTGAACAAATGAAGTTGTCGCGTCGGCTTACAGCAATTTGCATATTCCCCGCCCCGCCCACGGATCCCCTTTTCGGGGAGAGCGGATCCTGTCCAGCCCCGGTTGTCCATTTCAATTGTCGATCGATCGCAAAGAGCCCTGACTCATTTCTACACTAAAAAATAATCTTAGTTGTAGATTTGTCTTTCCGACATTTTCAAGAATTCACTTTTAAGTTTGAAAAATCCATTTTATTAATGCATTATTAATCCATTTCATTATATGCATGAAAACGTAAAAACGATATTTCAGTAATATCAATTTTACATTAAAGGGATATCACATTTTTTAAATGCTTAATTTGATTTCACAATAAATTACATTTATTTGTGTCGTTTTCTATGCGTGTTTATAAATTATTTGGTTCGGGTTATAGAAATTTAAAGATTAAAGTATTTGTCTTGATTTAATAATTACTTCACTATGTATCAGCTGCCCTACCACCTCGTGGTCAAACATATCCTCTAACAATTAACAGGGGATTGAATTTGGGTTTTGGGTTAGTCTTATTTGTGGGTTTGGGCGACTCCTATCCAACCACGCGTTCGTCGCTCGCCGGCTGAAAAAAGCTTCAATTGTTCTCCCAAACTGGTTTTGCGCATGCGCGCCTTTTTTGTTTTTCTTTTTCGATTGTATTTTATTCGGCGTTGGTCGCTTTTTTGTGTTATTTTAGCGGTTTTTGTTTTGATTTCTGATTGCCGTTCGAATGTCTTTTTCAGCCCGAAGTTGCTGTTGCGGTCGCTGGTGTTGCTTTGCTTTTTCTGCTGCTGCTGCCGTTGGCCACATTTATTTACGGTGGCAAGTGTCGCTTGACAAATTGATTTTGATTTGTTTGGTCTTTTTTTCGCCTTTTCTGTTTTGCCTTACTTTGTATTTTGTCCGCCGGTAATGGGAGGTTTTTGTTAGAGGGGCTTGGCAACCTTGAATCGACTGCAATTTCGCCCAGGTAACATGACAACTTGAATAGCCATTAAATTGCTTTAGTTCCCAGCCGAACAGGAAGAGGAATCAACAGCAATATCCATCCAATTATCGCTTCCTTCGTAGCATTCAAATTGGAAATCAAATAGCAACAGTTGAATGCACTCAATGGAAAGCGATTTCGGTTCGCGGGGGTGGAGGGTGCGGCCTTGCAGTGGGGTGGGGTGGAATCGGGACCGGGGATCGGAAAACTCGGGGGTAACTGTGCATTACACGCTCGTTGGCATCCTGTTTCATGCAACAGCAAGCAACAGGATGCCGCACAAACATTCCGAAAGCCGAGGGTTGCTCTGCACTGCACTGGGAAAAAAAGTGTTCAAAAGTTGACCTGTTCCTAAATTACATGTCAAAAGAATACAAATAATATTCGAGATATATATCATAAATATTTAATTATACGTGTCAAAAAAGATTGGAGAATTTAGCAATCAATCTGGACCAGAACTTTAAGGAGCAGAGACTAGAAGAACTATAATCTCATCTAATGCCTCAACTAGTTTAAAAACAACTAAATAAAATTAAATTAGACTGCACAGAATTATTAGTACAATGAATAAAAAATTATTTTTCTCAGTGTTCTCTGCCCTAAATGGCCCTCGAAAAGCCAACCAAAGTCAGTTACAAGTGACTGCCAAACAAAGCCCGTCCATCCAACACCGCGATCCATTCCAGCCATCCATCCACTCAGCGATCGCACAAAAGAACCGAGCACAATGCATTAGGGCCCTCTGAATGAAAAAAGAAGAAAGCTATAAGGAGCAGGGACACCGAACCCCGAAGCCCCGAACAAAGGAAGACCAGTCGTGCGTCTCAAAAATCCTTAAGCCGCAGAAAACGAACAAGGAACATGGAATACTCGTATTCATCAACGGACAAACACCTGATGATGACTTTGACTGCGACACCTGAACGTTAAAAATGATAATTAGATGGTCTAGCAACCCTCGAAAGACAGACAGACGTTACAATCGCCCAGGTAAACAAAGTAATGGTGGTGGAATCTCAGTTGGCTCTTCTTCCCTATCGAGTTTCCTTACCCCTCGTTGTGCCAAGTGATCGTTTGACTATATAAATGTTGTCATCCAGGGGTGGTTGAGGAAAGACTAGGATATTCGGAGCCTCTTCCAGACATTCCACCCCTGGTGGACTCGCTTGAGAAGAGCGCCCAGCGCTCTAATTAGTGGCCGCCAAGAGGCAACAGTGCATCGTAAAAATATGCGCATATCAAGAACTCCTATCTACATAATTATTAATTCAATATTTCCTGCCAGCTCTTGCGCCCCAGTTTCCTCGTCTCCTCTTAAAGACTTGCAACTCTGAAGAATAAAGAAAGAAACTCAGCGAAGGGAAAGGAAACGAGCACTTGACTTCAAGGACCAGCGATACAACGGAATGAAAGGGGAGTTGTTCTCAACAGCCGGATGGTGATCAAATAAGATCAGAAGAGAAAGCACGCGAAAGGAAGTTCTGGATGGGACTTGCCACTAAAGAAAGTCGTTTGGAAAGAAAGGAAATAAGAAGAGTGGTAAACAGTTGCAAGCTTACAGGATTTTATATAATAAATTAAGTAAGGAATAAATGAAGTTTTTTAAAAAAAGAATAAAGTATTGTATGATATTTTCAAGCTCATTTTAATGTATCTCCTCGGGAGCTCTTTCCCTCCCCATTCGCCATTAACGTTGTAGCATTCTACGCTTTCGCCTCGTCTTCCTTCCTTCGTCCCCCCCTGTGAAAGAGATAGAGGGACGCAGATAGAGAGAGATGGGCAATTGAATCTTTTCCCCCGACAGTTCACTGAACCCGGCCTCTGATGATTTGCGCCTAGCTGGCGGATCGCGATCTCCCGGATCAGGGGTTACACTTACATCCAGTCTCCGTTTGGAAGTGAGGATGATAAATTGTGGGAGTAGCACTCCCCAGCTTCTTCAGCGATTCTGTTTGAAAATCTTTTAATCACATAATTCCGAGACATGCAGCTACAAGCTTAGAAAGACATGTGCTTGCAATTAGAACTTGGTTGACCTACATTCGACTTAGTTTTCTATCTAAGGAAAAGTCTGGAGATAC